CTCATTTGGAGGGGAATTTGCTCCTAAATGCAAGCATAAAAATGATTTGGAAAACCTGACTAATTCTCTTGTTTCATTTTAAGGAAAAAATTTATATGAGCTCAGAAAATATCAGGTGATAGGAAATACAAGGCGAAGGTGAGTGAAGAGTCAAGGGTAACCCAAGATTGTGAACCTGGATAAACGGAAGGATGGGAGCACTTTCAACAGAAACCAGAAAGTCTGAAGGATGGATGAGCTTAGGCGGAAATAGAATAAGTTTCTTTTTGGACATTTCAAGGTTGAGATGCCCATGGGACATCCAAGTGAAGATGTTCAGTAAGTAATTGGTAATGCAGAATTGGAATTCATGAGACAGATTAGGGTTGGCAATACAGATTTGAGAGTCATCTGCATGGAGATAATTGAAACCGTGGAAGCTGATGATATTTCTGACAAAGAGGAGAAGAGGGCCAAATACAGAGCTTTGGAATACATCCACATTTAGTAAGAGGGAGCAGAAAAGATGATCCAGTAAGAGAATGAGTGGGCAGGCAAGTTGGAGGAGAACCAAGGGAGAGAAGTATTATAGAATTCAAGAGAGGGGACAGTGTCCAACAGGAGAGGGTGGTTGACAACGTCAAAAGCCCTAGATTGTTCAAATAGAATGAAGAGTAAGGAAATGTCATTGGATTTAGCAGTTAAGAGAGAGTTGGTGACTCTGGAGAGAACAGTTTCAATGGAGTAGTGGGGTGGGAGATAAGATTTCCAGGGGTTGAGAAGTGAGTGGCAGCCAAGGTAAGAAGATGGCAGAGGATGCAGTCCAGGAAGCTCATCCCCCACCCCCATCCCAAAACTCCTCCAAACAGATCTAGAAAATGCACCAGACAGAGTCCTGTTGAGGAAATCCAAGAAAAAGTCACAGTGAGTCATTTTTCCAGCCCAAGTCAGAATAGGGAGACAGACAGAGAGGTCAGAGGACACTAGGGATAGGATCTGGCCAGGAGCTCAGAACCACTTGGAGTGACCCAAGGTGCCGGATCGGGTGCCAATTGGCAGCTTTATCACTCCCTACCCAGTTCCAGATCACAGACTCAGGATAGTCTGAGGAGGTGGTGTTCTAGTATAGGGAGCAGCCTGAGTCCTTGGCTGTGTACTGAGCAAGGGGCTAATTCAGAAACAAACAGCACTGGTGTGCTCCCAGGAGCAGAGAAGGATCTCAGTTCTAGCCCAGTCTGAAGCCTACAGACAAATGACCAGAGCAGGAATCGCAGACCAAAGGGGAGCCTATAGGTCTGTCTCTCTGGACTAGCAGAGCTTCCTTCCCAGCTGGCTAATAGTGGCTGAGGCCAGCAGCAATCTACTATTGTCCCAACGCAAACCCAGGTCAGGGACTTGCAGAGCTCAGACCTGGATGAGAAGCCTTTGCCCTGGATCAAACTACCTTGGGAACACGGAAAGCTGAAGGTCCCTAGCCTGAGCTGACCCTAATATACTAGAATAATACACCACTCAATACTCCAAGAAAGTACAAACATTCCTTCCCGAAGTGCTCAGAGCTTGGCCATAACATTAAGTCCAAAGTCAGGAAGTAGTTTGGAAGATTGAGCAAAGAAACAAACAAAAACTTTCACTATAAAAAGCTATCACGGTGACGGGAAACTCAAAACACAGATCCAGAAGAAGAGAATGACTCTAAAACATCACAAGCAAAGCATCAAAGCAAAACATAGGTTGGACATAAACTCAAATAGAATTTCTAGAAGAGATGAAGCAAGAGTTTTAAAAAAAAATGAGGTAAAATGTTTGTTATGAATGAAATGAGAGCACTAAAGAAAAAGATAGAAAAAAAGTGAGGTATAGAAGAAAGACTTGAAAAGGGAATATATAGCTTGGTACAAGAGAAACAAACCTTGCCCAAGTGATAAACTCCCTGAAAATTACAATGGACCAAATGGAAGCCAATTACTCCATGGGACAACAAGGAATATTAAAAAACAAAATCAAAAGACTGAAAAAAATAGAAGAAACTGCAAGGTATCTCATAGCAAAAAGAAGTGACATGAAAAACAGATTGAGGAGAAAGGACTGTTGCTGATGGGCAGGGCCATTAGAATTCTAATAACTTTCAGAGGTGATATTTACAATGGCCATATTTGCTATCTGGTCACAGAGACCATATAGTCTCTGAGGCTAGTATGAGTCCATCTGGTTGAATTTCCAGAGGACTGGAAATCAATTCTGCTCTCTTCTACTTGGACACCAGAGAATTAGTTTGATACCACAAAAGAGAAAAAGATGAGTTCTGAGAAAGCTCCCTCTAGGTCCTCAAGTGCAGCCCTTTGACTGAATCCAAACTTCATAGAACAAATCCCCTTATGATAAAAAGGATTTGTTCTGTAAAACTTGGACTCAGTCAAGAGACCACATGCAAAGACCTAGAAGGTCACATGTGGCCTTAAGGCAGCAGGTTCCCCACCCCTGGATTAGAGTCTAAAGCTATAATAAAAGCCTTAGAGTCCATGGCTATAAATTAAAGACCTACTATGGTGGAAGGAGTTTCTACACAGGGAACTCCTTACAGTGATGATATCACCCTGTCTCCTCTCCCCTTTCACCTTCTCCATTATGTGCAGATATTATTTGAGTGGCAATTTGGAGTAGCACAGAGTGAGCTGGCCTTATAACCAGGGAGGTCTGAGTTCCAATCTTGTCTCTGATACATACTGATGTGAGCAAGTGTCTTAACCTCTCAATGCTCCAGCCAACTCTCTTAAGACCTGCATTAGTTAGAGGGAGTTCAGTATGTGGATGCCATCACAGCTCCAGTGCCTCTGTGCTTTTTGAGGGCTTGGTCTGGAATCAGGAAGACCTGAGTTCAAATTTGGCTTCACATGCTTCCTAAATGTGTGATCCTGAGCAAGTCACTTCACCTCAGTTTCCTCATAGTAAAACAGGGATAATAACAGCACCTACCTCCCAGGGTTGTTGTGACGATCATATAGGATAATAATTGCAAATCGCTTAGCATAGTGCTGGCACATAGTAAGTGCTATATAAATGTTATTATTATCCTTATAGTTTGTTATATTTATACATGTGCATAAATAAAAATAAAATAAGATGAAAATAAAATAAGAAAACAAACACAATAAATATTAAAATTTTAATAATAAAATAGAACTAAAAGGGAAATAAAAAAATAACAAAACATGTTTAAAAATAACAATAAATTAAAAAATAATTATTTGCCCACAATCACTAAGGTTTAAGCATCTGAGAGGAAATTCAAACCCAAATTTCTTGACCCCCTAGGTCAGTGTTCCAAATTCTAGTATCGGCAGCTTCCTCCAACGTGCATATCTATACACACATGTAGTTCTCCAGGGTTATAGAAAGAGTAATTGATAAATTGCCATTGATGCCTGTATCTTCAACACCCAAATGGATCAGATGATCTCATCCAGTGGGGAATTTCACCCTCTTCTCTCCCCCTTCACCACAACAAAATAAAATATGCTTTATTTTTTGGTTTAACTTGACCTGGGATTATATCGTGTAAGGAGTTTTGGGTGAGGTACTCCCTCTACTGACGCTTTTGGGCAAATAATACATATGGACACACCCACTTTGCAAATTAGAGAGTTGCCTAGGCCCTCTGAGATTTTAAACGAACTGACTTGCAGAGGGTCACACAGCTTTATAATTCTAAATAAGGCGCGGGGCGAAGGCTAGGGAGAGGAAGGGAGACTAGAACTCAGGTCTTCTGGACTTCAAGGTCATCTCTCTATACACTATTCACATGCTACTTTTCTTGCTTGTTTATTTAGCTTGTAGTCTGTAGTGGACACAGGGCTGGATTTGGGAGTCAGGAAGACCTGAGTTTGAATAGTTGAACCCTACCTCATACTTATCCAGGCTGTGTGACCTTCAGCAAGACACTTTACCTCTCTCAGACTCAGTTTCCTCATCTGTAAAATGGGGATAATAAAAGCACCTACCATACAGTCAGGCAGCTAGTATTTATCAAGAGCCCACTATATGCAGCTATTTAGGCAGCTAGATAGCATAGTAGATAGAGCACGGGCAGGGAGTCTGGAAGACCCGAGTTCAAATCCAGCCTCATTAGCTGTGTGATCCTGGGCAAGTCACTTAACCCCGTTTGCCTCAGGTTCCTCAACTGGCAAATGAGCTGGAGAAAGAGACAACAAACCACTACAGTGTCTTTGCCAAGAAAACCCCAAATGGGGTCACAAAGAGTCGGACACGACTTAACAACTACCACGTGCCAAGCACTGTGCTGAGCGCTTGGGAATACAAAGACAAAATCCAATCCCTGTTTTTAAGAAGCTCAGTCTTAAGGTGGAGACAAGAAGCAACTATGTACAAACAAGATATAAGCAGGATAAATTGGGAGAGGAAACATGCAAACAAGATGTAGATAAATTAGAGATAACCTCAGAGGGAAGGCACCAAGATGAATTAAGCAGGACTGGGAGAGCGTCCTTGCAGAAGCCAACAAGCTCCTGCGTTCCCCGGGCTGTGGTGACAGTCAAACCAGATCATCTTGTCTGTAAGATACCCATTTAAAGCGCTTTGCAAACTTTAAAGCATTCAATATATCAGCTATTATTACCATTAATGCAAAGTTGGTGAAACGCAACATTTTTAAAAAGAACAATAATAAAAGAGGGTGAGCTTCGCCCCGAGCGTGCACCCATCCCCTAAACGAGTCGGGGTCCGGACTGGAGAGGCAACCCAAGACCCAACCTCTCCAGCAGAGCTGCGCACGCAGCCAAGCCCTGCCCCCACCGGCGGGATCACGTGGTCAGAGCCCTTCCCCAGCCCAGCTCAGCCCAGCCCAGCCCAGCCTAGCCCGGCCGGGAGCTCTGGGCTGTGTCTGCTCTTGAACTCTGCGCGGGTCCCTGTAAGCGAGAGGAGGGAGGCGCGCGAGCGCGCGCGCGCCGGGTCGCGGGGTTGGTTGTATAAGCGCGGGGGCTGGTGCCGCCTCCTCCCCAGACCTCGAGCTGCTGCTGCGTAAAGCGCGGACGCTGTGTGCTTGGCCTAGCTTGCTGCGAGCTCCCGCGGACGCGGGGGGCCTCGGGCTTCCGGCTCCGTTTGCAGCCGCCCCCAGGTGAGCAGAAGCCGGAGCGCCCCTCGGGCAGGGCGAGGGGAGCTGGGGCACCCGGTCCTGCTTCTCACCCACCCCTCCCTGTGGGGCGCCGGGCCTCCCGGAGCCTTTACAAAGCATGTTCTGCATGCGCGTAAAAGCATGTCCTGCACGCGCGCAAAGCATGCCCTGCACGCGCGCAAACCTCCCCCCAGCCCCTGGAGGCCAGGGGGGAGCAGGGAGCCGGGGTGCCCAGGAAGGAACTTTGCATTTGGAGACGGAGGACCTGGTTTCAAATCCAGGTTCTGCATTTTGGGAGAGTTAGTTCACTTCTTTAGCGTTCAATTTTTTCCGATGTAAAAGGAAGGAGTTGGGAGGTTCTGAAATGCCATGATCTTATCTTCATCCAAGATAACCTGGAATGGCTTTTGAAATGGGATTGGTCAAGAGAATAGTAGCAGATCTGCCCTAGAACGAGCCAGGGAAATGATGTTCTCCCTTTTCTTGACCTCCCCATTCTAGCTGTTGTAGCTCCATCAACTGAGCAGAGACCCCAATTTTGTGTATACGGGAAATAAAATGTGCCAAAGGTGACTGGTAATTTTGTGGTACCTGAAAGGGAGAATAGCTGAGACAGTCTCTAGTCAGCAGATTTCACACTTGCAGTGCCACGGAGGCGTATAGAAAAAGATACTATTTAGGAATATTAAAACAAAAAAACTCAATTTTTCCAAAGGGCAGAATCAAAGGAAATGTATGCTCTAATCTAATTGGCTACATTAATCAAGTACCAGAGTAGATGGAAGTATAGGAAAAAACAAATAATTAAGAAATGATTGCCCTAAAAAAGGTATAAGTGATATGGGGTAGAGGAGCTGCAGCTAAGGAGTCATCTGCACCAACAGAATGTAGGTGAGATACAGGGTGTCCCAAAAGTCTTAGTGCAGTTTTAAGCTTTAATAACTTCAGAAATATAAGTGTTGGGGTAGCTAGGTGGCACAGTGGATAGAGCACTGGCCCTGGAGTCAGGAGGAATGGAGTTCAAATGTGGCCTTAAGACACTTGACACTAGCTGTGTGACCCTGGGTAAGTCACTTAACCCCAATTGCCTCACCAAAAAAAAAAAAAAGAAATATAAGTGTTACATCCTTTTTTAAAAGCCACATTTGAAAAGTGAATTATTTAAATTTGAAAATTTTGCTGTTTCTTATGAAAATTCAACACAACCGCTTTTGTGGTAATAAATCACTGATTTTCAAACCTTCTGGAAAGAACTTTCAGATGCTACTCAGTGACAAAAAAAGGATTGCATTTTGCAATTCTAATATTAAAATCATCCAAAGAAAGTGGTTTTGATTCATGAAGGACAATTTTGATGTGACCCCAACAAGATAAAGTCTAATTGATTAGGTGATTGAGGTATGGAAGCAAGAGGGTCTCCTCTGCTAATGTATGAATCTGATAACAGTGTCATCCAGAAAATGGCACATAGCAATGCATAGTGACAGGGTGCCCCATCTTGGTAAAATTCAAATTCAAAATCTGTCATTCAAAATTCACAAAACTAAGTTTAAAATAAATTTAAATAAACTGTCAATTTTTTTAGTAAATTTGTAGCATTCATGATTCTGAAGTTACTGAAGTTTAAAACTACACTAAGACTTATGTGACACCCTGTATGGTACAGATAATACACTGAAGCAAAGAACTATTTATTGGAAAAGGGATTTAAAAAAAGGGAGGTTTCTTTGTTATGTATATACTTTGTTATACATTTTACTTTCTCAGCAAAATGCAGCAATCCTGTAATTATTTAAAATCGACACAGCATTCTAGCTCCAGTAACAAAGCCCATTGGTTCGGGGCTCTTCTTATCGGTGGAGATCAATGCCCTGTGTGGAACTGATGAGGGAGGGAGGGAGGAGTTCGCATTAAGCTTCCAGTCTTTTTGAGTCACTAAGGCCCTTTGGACTAAGGGCACTTCTGGCTTCCAGCTTTGAGAGAGAAGATGGAAGAGGCCAACCCCGAGCCAGGTTGCTGAAGGCAAAGACTGGGAAAGCCATGAGGGCAGCTGGCAGTCTCCATCATGTCCCTATCCCCAACCCGCTGCATCAGAGCCTTCAAGGACCTTCCTCTTGGGTGGGGTCTAGGACATTCTCTCTTAACTGAGCTGAATTACCTCATTTACAGTGAGAGAGGGCCTTCATTCAGTATTGTCTGGTATATATTCTCCAATTTTTTCAGGTTTCTGTTTGACTGTCGAATTGGCTAATTGGGTCTCTTCGATAGTTCCTATGTGTCTTTGCTGTAGAACTGGTATTTGATGGGAAAGGACTCAAGCCTTGGATAAAAAGCTTGGGGTGCTGCTTCCCCCAGTAAGGAACTGCAATCAGAAGTTAGATTGAACCTGAAAATCACATCCCCTCGACCAGGGGTGGGGAACTTGCAGCCTTGAGGCCACATGTGGCTGCCTAGGTCCTCAAGTGCAGTCCTTTGACTAAGTCCAAGTTTTGCTGAACAAATCCTTTTATTAAGGGATTTGTTCTGTGAAGTTTGGATTCAGTCAAAGGAGGACCATTTAAGGACCTAGGCAGCCACATGTGCTTTTGAGGCCATGGGTGGCCCACTCCTGCCTTAGACTAATAATATTTAAGGGAAAGTAGATCATATTCTAACTGGGTACCCCTCTCTCTCTCTCTTCTCAGAGTAGCCAACCTTTTGCTCTTCTGCTTTCCCTCCTGGCAGGAATTAAAAGTCTCATTTAGGGAAGGGGGTGGGGAGAGGAGGCTAGAGAGGTCTCCTCTGTCTCCCTTGGAGTCACACAACAACACCCGCATGCTATGTGGGGCAGAGCAGCCCTTGCAACAAATGGGCTTCCACTACAGAGTTTTCTTAGGTGTAAAGTTAAACCCCAATTTATAGCTGAATCTGTTAGAGAGCACTTTCAGATATTAACACTCACCTAAAGAAACATCCTGAGCTTCTCCTCCTCCTTTCCCAATGTTTCTCTTTCATTCCCTTTTCCTCTCATTCTCCTTTCCCATACCTACTTTTTTGTCTTTTGTCGTTTTCTTTTTTTTTTTTTCCAAACTTCTGCCTCAGCCTCATAACAGACCATTATATGAAATCCTTTGATACCTGGATGGATCTGTGATCTCAGTAATGTAGGCACATCCCCTGGGCCAGATTACTACTTCCTCTCTTTCCATCTCATGCTGTGAGATTTTTGTCCTTGTCACTGGCAAACATCCTTCCTCTAGGTCTGTCTTTGGATATTTTCTCGGTACCAATACTGTTCTCTTTTGCCCACTTGTTGTTATTCCTGGGTCTTGATATTCAATCAACCAACTCCTTTTCAGAGCAAACGTTTCTTTGGTGATACCTTTCAAATGAAAAATAAAGGTCTTCTGTTACCTCTTTTTCAATTTTGAAAGCAGGTAAATGTTTTATACTTATCTAAAAAATAATATTAATAGCTAATCCTACATACTGTGTTATGGACATTACCTCCTTTGATCCTTGCACCAACCCAATGACATAGGTGTTGTAGGTATTATTATACCCATTTTAGGAATGAGAAAACTGAGGCTTAGAGGGCTGGTCATTTGCCTGTGATCACATAGCTAGTGGCAAAGGTAGGGTTCAAAATCAGATCCCTCTTGACTTTATCATTCTGCTTTTCAACGATAGCTTACATTTCAAAAGCACTCTGAAATTTCCAAAATGCTTTCCTTACACTGAAGTAGACAGTGCAGATATCATTATTCCCATTTTACAGATGAAGAAACAGAGGCTCCTCTGAGAGGGACTTTGGGGACTGAATGTCTCTGGACCAAAGAGCATGTGGTCTGGGTAGTTGGAGTAAAGTTCCTTCAGTGGGTGGTTCTGAATATGCTTTGCATCTGCCTTCATGAGCATCTGAATTTTTTGGCCCCAGTTTCCCTCCCTCCTCTAACCCTCTGTAGATAACTGAGCCTTCATTTATGCTCAGGTGAGTAAGTGTATGAGGCTAGGCTTAGATTCAGTTCTTTTGACTCCAAATTCAATTGGAGCTACTTTTTTTTTCATCTTTGTGTGACTTGTGGATAATTATATCTCCTTCCCTCAAAAGAAAGAAAAGAAAGATCTTTCTTATCTCTGCTTAAGAAAAAAATTGGTGTGTTTTTTAATTGTTCAACTGATAAAACAGTTGCTAAACACTCAGATTAGATCAGAAAACCAGAATGCCAGAAACTTTTATTGCCCTGGAAGGGGGTTGCATGCACTGTACCCTATACTTGAAATCCTCTCCCTCCTAGTCTCTGACTCTTCAAATCACTGGCTTCCTTTAAGTTTGTTGTTATTGTGGGGTTGTTTCTGACTCTTAACCCATTTGGGGTTTTCTTGGCAAAGATACTGGAGTGGTTTGCCATTTCCTTCTCCAGCTCATTTGACAGATGAGGAAACTGAGGCAAATGTGGTTAAGTGATTTGCCCAGGGTCACACAGCTAGTAAGTGACTGTGGCCAGATTTGAACTTGGGTTTTCCTGACACCAGGCCCGGAGCTCTATTCACTGTGTCACCTCGCTGCCCCTAGGCTTCCTTTAAGACATAGTTCAAATACTACCTCTTACAGGGGATTTTTCCTGGTCTCTCAGGTGGAAGTTCTTTCTGTTCTAAGGCTACTTTCCATCTACTCTTTTATTTCATATGAACCAAATTGTGTGTGTACATATGTGTGTGTATATATATGCACATATATACATGCATATACTCACGTGTGTGTATGTATTTATGTATGTATTCTCTTCCTGATTATAATGTAAACTTCTTAAGGCAAGGGCTGTCTTTGCTTTTTCTTTGTATGCCCAAGTTTAGCATAGTGCCCAGCATATGGTGTGTCCTTAATAAACGTTCTTGGTTGATTCTTTGGAATGAGGAAAATTATCACTGGTCTTGGAGGTAGTGATAAGCAAGAGTTTATATATTGTCTTCTTAGATTTGAAACTCTTCTCAATAGGGCTTGCTGTATAGTTCTTGTCTTATAGACTGAGGAAATTGGATATTCTTTCTAACCACCTAGGGAAATGTTATGACCATGTATACACCATTTTTCAAGGCAGAGTCGGCATAAAGGCACTCAAATTAACCGAATTGGATTTATCCAGAGAATTGGGATTTATAGCTCAAATGCTTATATGGATCCACCCAGCCACTAGCTGAGGAGAGAGAGTTCAGTATTTTATTTACACTCGTTATCACAAATGCCTTTTCCTCCATCTAATCCAACTCCTCTATATTTTTATTCCCAGAATAAAAGGCATAAGACCCACCATGGCCCCCAAAAAGAGGAGTCACAGTACCAGTAGTGAGCCGGAGAAGATGGAAAGCCAGGAGAGTAAAGCTAAGAGGAAGCCACTCCAGAAACACCAGTTCAGCAAGAGCAACATGGTCCAGAAAGAGGAGGAGGACAAGAGAGAGGGAGAGAAAAGGGGAGGAGCAGAGGGCCTGCACGAAGTAGTGAGGCAGTCCAGGCTCCGGACCGCTCCCTCCGTGCTGGAATTTCGCTTTAATAAACAACGAGTGAGACTCATCTCCCAGGACTGCCACCTGCACGACCAGTCCCAGGCCTTTGTGTACTGGATGTCTCGGGACCAGAGAGTGCAAGGTCTGGGCAGATGGAGATGGGTCAGGGGGTTCACTCGGTGGCTGCTTCTTTGGGTTTGGCATCTGCCTTCATAGGCACCTGAATTTTTTGGCCTCAATTTCTCTCCCTCTTTTACCCTTTTTTTTTTTTTTGCAGATAATTGGGCATTCCTTTATGCCCAGAGATTGGCCCTGAAACAGAAGCTGCCCTTGCATGTCTGCTTCTGCCTTGCCCCCTGCTTCCTGGGGGCCACCATCCGCCATTATGACTTCATGCTTCGTGGCTTGGAAGAAGTAGCCGAGGTAAATGGGAAAGGACATTATGGGGTAACTGGTAAAGAAATTAGGGGTGTCTGTAGCTCCTTTAGGGGTGCAATAGCTGATTTTCATTCATTTAATATTTATAAAGTGCCTACTATGTACAGAGTTCTGTACATCGGGGAAAATAAGGGAGGGAACGAGTATTTATAAAATGCCTGCTGTGTGGCCAGTACTATGCTAAACACTTTACAAGTACCATCTCATTTAGTCCCTCTCAAATACCTTAGAAGGTAGGTGTTGTTATCCACATTTTGCAGTTGCAGAAACAGATAGAAAAAGGTTAAGTTACTTATTACCTAGAGTCACACAGGTAATGTCTGAGGCTGGATTTGGATGCAGGTCTTCCTGACTGCAGACACCACTGTGCCACTAGCTGCCCACATTATATGCATGCTGTGTGTGTGTGTGTGTGTGTGTGTGTGTGTTGGAGGTAGGGAGTGGGAGATTGGAATACAAAAGTAATTAAGTGTAGAGTAGAAAGGGACAGCTAAGTGGTACAGTGGATAGAGTGCTAGGCCTACAGTTAAGAAGACTCATCTTCCTGAGTTCAAATCTGGCCTCAGACACTAGCTCTGTGACCCTGGGCAAGTCACTTGACCTGTTTGCCTCAGTTCCTCATCTGTAAAATGAGCTGGAGAAGGGAATGGCAAACCACTCCAGTATCTTTGCCCAAAAAAGCCCCAAATATGGGGTCAGGAAGAGTCAGACATGGCTGGAACAACTGAACAACAACAGCACCAGAGTAAAAAGAGCACTATTGTGAGCCAAGATGGCAGAGTAAAAGCAGTGACTTGCTTGAGCTCTCCCCCAAACTCCTTCAAACACCTGTAAAAAATGGCTCTAAACAAATTCTAGAGTGGCAGAACCCACAAAAAGACAGAGTGAAACAAATTTCTAGTCCAAGACAACCTGGATGGTTGATTGCAAAGGTCTGTTACACAAGGCTGGGAGAGAACCAAAGTTCAGCACAGGCATGCAGGCAAAACAGGCCTCAACGATCCTAGAGCAGTCCTCAGGGGATTGAATCATGGGCAGCTGTGGTGGTTTCCAGACTTCTTAATCCACAAACACCAAAGTCAACTTAGAAGGTCAGTAGGAAAGGTCTGTCAGACCTCAGAGAGGCCTGACCTGAGAGAGGAGCTTGGTCTGGCCCTAGTCATGGCGCAGCCCCGGGGTGGTGACTGCTTCTGGAGCTCTCAGCCCACAGACAGAGCGGGGATCCAGCAGCTGATCAGAGGGGGATTTCAGCTGGTGCTGAGGCAGGATTCTCTTGCTTTGCCTGTGCTTGGATCTGGGTTGCAGTTCTTCGTGAGGGTCCTGGGACAAGGAGGGGCACTGGTGTGGTAGAGCTTATGGTGGCAGTGGACAAGGAATCCTCCTCACAGTTCCAAGACAGAAAAGAGTGCTTGTAGTCACTCATAGACCAGAGCACAGGCCAGGAAAGGAGTAAACACCTCGCCCTTGATCAGGTCCCTAGAAGCATCTCTGAAAACAACTGCACAAAACCCCCAAAGCTTGGGACAGTACATTCTCCACACTGGAAGCAGATCCCTACCTTAACAAAGAGTTTAAAACTCAAATAATTGGCTGGGAAAATGAGCAAACTGCGCAAAAAAGGTCAGACCATAGAATCTTTCTTTGGTGACAAAGATCAAAACATACAACCAGAAGAAGACAACACAGTCAAAGCTCCTACATCCAAAGCCTCCAAGAAGAATACCAATCAGTCCCAGGCCATGGAAGAGCTCAAAAAGGATTTTGAGAAGCAAGTAAGAGAAGTAGAGGAAAAACTGGGAAGAGAAATGAGAGAGATGCAAGAAAATCATGAAAAAACAAGTCAACAGCTTGCTAAAGGAGATCCAAAAAAATACTGAAGAAAATAATGCCTTAAAAAATGGACTAACACAAATAGCAGAAGAGGTCCAAAAAGCCAGTGAGAAGAATGCCTTCAAAAGCAGAATTGGCCAAATGGAAAATGAAGTCCAAAAGCTCACTGAAGAAAATACTTCCTTCAAAATTAGAATGCAGCAAATGGAAGCTAATGACTTTATGAGAAATCAAGATGTTGTAAAACAAAACCAAAAGAATGAAAAAATAGAAGACAGTGTGAAATATCTCATTGGAAGAAACAACTGACCTGGAAAATAGATCCAGGAGAGATGATTTTAAAATTATTGGACTACCTGAAAGCCATGATCAAAAAAAGAGCCTAGAGGGCGCTGCTGGGCCAGACCCATGCCCCCTGCGAGGGGTCGCTCTCCAGCGGCGCCCACAACAAGGAGGGCTCGGGCCGCTCGTGGAGAACGCTGACCTACTTTGTCGCACTCCCCAGGGTGGCAGTCAGCATGCTGAACGCCTACCTGAAGTCGCAGGAGCATCAGGAATGGCCCAAATTCATCCCCTACCCCCATCTCTGCATCCGAACCAAGCCCTTCCCATGGGGAGATGGAAACTATACTCTATTTCATAACCATCACGTCAATCCTCTCCCAACTGGGTATGAGGAAGAATAAAGAAAATTTGGACCATACTAATCAAGCACTGGGGGACCACAGCAGCAGTTGGACCATCCTTTTCTATGTGGAACAGAAAATTATATGGGACCTTAAGTTCACTTGCGTTACAATAGTGACAAATATGCTGACCTTTTATCATTTTGCTTGTGATTGGGATGGCTTAAATAAATAATTCTTACCCTAAAAAAAAAAAAAAAAAGAGCCTAGACATCATCTTTCAAGAAATTATCAAGGAAAACTGCCCTGATATTCTAGAACCAGAGGATAAAATAGAAATTGAAAAAATGCACTAACCTCCTGAAAGAGATGCACAAAGGAAAACTCCTAGGAATATTATAGCCAAATTCCAGAGTTCCCAGGTCAAGGAGAAAATATTGCAAGCGGCCAGAAAGAAACAATTAAAAAAATAAAAGAAAAAAAGGAACAATTCAAGTATTGTAGAAATGCAATCAAGAAAACACAGGATTTAGTTGCTTCTACATTAAGGGACAGTAGGGCTTGGAATATAATATTCCAGAGGTCGAAGGAGACAGGATTACAACCAAGAATCACCTACCCAGCAAAACTGAGTATAATCCTTCAGGGGAAATAAAAAGGAAGATTCAGTGAAATAGAGGACCTTCAAGCACTCTTGATGAAAAGACCAAAGCTGAATAGAAAATTTTACTTTCAAATACAAGACTCAAGAGAAGCATGAAAAGGTAAACAGGAAAGAGAAATCATAAGGGACTTACTAAAATTGAATTGTTTACATTCCTACATGGAAAGATGATATTTGTAACTTATGAGACCTTTGTCAGTATTAGGGTAGTTGGAGGGGGAAAAATACATAGATATAGGTAGGTAGGTAGATAGATAGAGGGCACAGGGTGAGTTGAAGATGAAGGGGTGAGATCTAAAAAATAGAATTGTGGGGTGAGAGGATTATACTGGGAGAAGGAGAAAGGGAGAGGTAGAATGGGGTAAATTATCTCACATAAAACAGACAAGAAAAGGCTTTCACAGTGGAGGGGAAGTGGGGGAAGGTGAGAGGGAATGAGTGAATCTTATTCTCATTGGATTTGACTTAAGGAGAGAGAATAGCATGCACAGTCAATTGGGCATGGAAATCTATCTTACACTATAGGAAAATAGGGGGGAAGGGGTTAAGAGAGCGGGGGGATGATGGAAGGGAGGGCAGATTGGGAGAGGGTGTTATCAGATACAAACATTGCTGAGGAGGGACAGGTTCAAAAGAAAGAATAGAGGGGCAGCTAGGTGGCGCAGTAGATATAGCACCAGCCCTGAAGTCAGGAGGACCTATGTTCAAATCCGGCCTCAGACCAAACACTTGACACTTACTAGCTGTGTGACCCTGGGCAAGTCACTTAACCACAATTGCCTCACTAAAAAAAAAAAGAAGAAAAAAAAAAAGAAATTATAAAAAAAAAGAGAGAATAGAATTAACGGGGGGGCAGGATAGGATGAAGGGAAATATAGTTAGTTTTTCATAACATGACTACCATGGAAGTGTTTTGCATGACTATACATGTATAACCTGTATCGAGTTGCTTGCCTTCTCAATGAGGGTGGGTGGGGAGGGAGGAAGGGAGAAAAACTGGAACCTGAAGTTTTAAAAACAAAAGTTAAAAATTATTTTTACACGTAACTGAGAAATAAGATATACAGGCAATGGGGTATAGAAATCTATCCTGCCCTACAGGAAAATAGAAGGGGAAGCAGATGAGAGAAGGAAAGGGTGATAGAAGGGAGGGCAGATAAGGGGAAAGGGTATTCAGAATGCACGCCGTCTGGGGGTGGAGGGAGGGACGAGATGAGGAGAAAATTTGAAACTCAAAATCTAATGGAAGTGAATGTTAAAAACTAAAAATAATAATAAGAAGAAGAAAAAAATTAAAAAAAAAAAAGAAAGAGCACTAGTGACTGTAGAACGAGGGAATCTGGGTTCAGATCCTCCCTACCTGTGTGAACTTGAGCAAGTCACTTAACTTGTTTGGGCTTCAGTTTCCTCATTTGAAAAAACAAGGGAGGTTGGACTAGGTGTATCCTTCCAGCTCTAAATCTAGGCTTCTGTGATCCTCACACATGGCTCATGCCCTCATTTAGTAAGTTATGTACAGTATCATACAGGAATTTAAAAGGACAGAACTGAATATAGTAAGCACAAGATAGGAAGAAATTGTTAATAGGAGGTTGGAGAAAAACTCAGAAGGACCAGAAGGCAGCGGCTACCTGAAGGGGTGGTATTTGTTCTAGGTGTTAAAGGCCAGGTGGGATTTTTGGAGGTGGAGATGGGAAATGTGGGCATTCTGAGTAAAGCCATAAAGCAGGAAATATCTGGATGGCAATTAGTCCCATTTGGCTGTAGTCCTAGTGCCTGTAACAATCTGAGATGATTCCTGGAGAAGGAGGGAGGTACCAGGTGGTCAGCAAATGCCAGGCTAAGGAGTTTGAGCATGCAGGAGGGGGTAGGATTGTGGAGAAATCTTGTCCCAACTTGGTATGGAATGGGGTCCTTTCATCTCTTTGTTGCAGGAGTGTCAGAAGCTGTGCATCCCCTTCCACCTGCTTCTAGGCCTGCCAAAGGATGTCCTTCCTGCCTTCGTGCAGACACATGGCATTGGTGGCATAGTGACTGACTTCTCCCCTCTGCTCCACCACACCCAGTGGGTGAAGGATGTCCAGGATGCACTGCCAAGGCAGGTGCCCTTTGTACAGGTAGGTGCCTGTGATAAAATAGTGTCACTTAGAAGGGTCCGTTGAATCTATCTTTCTTAGCATGAATGAAATGCTAAGTCATAGATAAGGGCTTATGCAATATGGTAGAGCAAAGACCTGAATTTTACCCTCCATCATGATCTTTGGTGTTTGTCCAGTAGCCACAAGTGAGTTTCCCTTCTTGGAGGAGGTCAAGTACCATAAAGTCTGGGTGATTTTACAAGTCGGAGATAAAAGTGGGAAATCACCAGAATGTGGGGATTTGCCAGTCTAGTGACTCCTCGTTTGTTTTCCTTTGGCAGGGGAGAGGGGACTTCAAACCACAGCATTGTGTTGTGAATCTGGAGGATTAGATGACTCCGGGGAAAGTTGTGGTACTAATCATAAGCGCGGCAGAATTGTGTGTATTATTTATGAGTTGCTGTGAGTAGGCTGTGAAGTAGATAGAATGCTGGCCTAGAGTCAGGAAGATGAGTCTTCACGAGTTCAAATCTGGCTTCGGATACTTACTAGCTGTGTGACCCTGGGCAAGTCACTCAAACCTGTTTGCCTCGATTTTTCTCGTCTATAAAATGAGCGGCAGAAAGAAATGGCAAATTGCTCAAGTATCTTTGCCAAGAAAACCCCACATGGAGTCAGAAAGAGTTGGACACAACTGAACAGATGTGCTAGTAAATATTTAACAACTGACTCTCCAGAGAAAAAATGTACACATGACGTGCTTCTAGATTTAATCTGCATTATTAACATTTTCTCCACCGCTTTATTAAGTCTAAACAATCAACAAAACAATTTATCAAGCCTTGATTTGTATCATTTGCTGATTTCCAAGATATAAATGCTCACACTGAAAATTTAACAATTGGCTCTGGTATTATCCGGCTCCAACACATGCTGAGTTTTATGTGTTTGTTGGTTTTGCTGAAATGCTTTTTTTCCTTATTTCTTCTAATTCTTTGTCACCAAGGATGGTTTGCTACATACAGGAGGAGGGGAGGGATTTATTTAGAAATGAAGGTGATATAAAAGCAAGTTATCCATAAAATGAGGTTTACATAGGCTAGCAGAGGCTGGAAGGCAACAGCTTCATTCAAGAGGAAACTATGATTCTTTTTAGGCTCTTGAACATGAACCCATCAATAGGTATTTGCCGACTAGCTGATGTGTACGAAGCACTATCCTAGGCATTGTGGGGTATAGGAGGTATGGTTTCTGCCCACAAGGAGTTTATAATCCAATTGGTTTTTCCTCAGGTAGATGCCCACAACATCGTTCCATGCTGGGTAGCCTCTGACAAGCAGGAATATGGGGCTCGAACCATCCGACACAAGATCCACGACCGGCTTCCTCATTTTCTTACTGAGTTTCCCCCAGTTATATGTCACCCATATCCTTCAAACATTCAGGCTGAGGTAAGATGTGCCCGTGCCCTGAAGGAGGGCTGGGCTTGGGCTGGGGAGGGTCTAGGGGAGGATACAGAGACCCTTTTGTAAATTATTTTTTGAAAACGAGATAAGAAACTGAGGCACCAGAGAATTGACCTAATGGGCCCTGGGGAAAGGGAGCAGCAAAGCCCTGGAGTTAGTGTCTCAAGTGACTGTTTGATACAGCCTTATGATGTGTCTGCCCAGAGTAGAATTCCTCACAGGACTGGGATTTCTCTGCCTGCTTCTCTGAAGTCTCGTTAGCCCCTACTCAGATCTAACCACATCAATTAATCGTTAAGTATTTCTTAAGTACTCACTATGTGACAAGCACTGTGCTAGGCACTGGGGATACAGTTCCCCCCAAAAAAAGGAAACAATCTTTATTTTCGGGGAATTTACATCCTAATGAGGGAATAAATATACAAGGAATCTATACAAAGAAATTCAAGATAGTTTGGGAGGGAGGGTACTAAGTAGTTAGAGAGAGAGAGAGAGAGAGAGAAAGGAAGACAGACTGAATAAAGAGAATGAGAGAGGAAGAGAGTGAGAAAAGAGAGAAAGGAAGAGAGTGAGAAAGGAAGAGAGGAAAGAGAGGAAGAGAGTGAGAAGTGAGAAAAGAGAAAGTGAAAGAGAGAAAAAGAGTGAGAAAAGAGAGTGAGAAAAGAAAAAGGAGAGAAAGAAAGGAAGAGAGGAAAGAGTGAGAGGAGGAGAGTGAGAAGTGAGAATGTGAGAAAAGAGAAAGTGAAAGAGAGAAAGGAAGAGAATGAGAAAAGAGAGAGAAAGAAAAGAAAAAGTGAGAGAAAGAGAGAAAGGAAGAGAGTGAGAAAAGAGAAGAGAAATAGAAAATGTATGGATTAGTATATGGGCCAAGTAGTGAGCTAAGTACAAGGGTTATCAATACAAGCAAACAAATCAGTCTTCAGCCTCTAGGAGTATACATTCTGATGAGAAAAGACAGCACATAGACAGTCAGAGAAAGGGGGAAGTCATCATTGTGATTGGGAAGCTGTATGGGGTCCTTCTTAGTGAAATAAGGTAAAAACTCACCTATTAGAGCCCCATGTCCTGAAGGCAGAGTTGGGATGGGAAGAAGGAGAATGAAGTTGATGATTAGCATGGTATGGAGATGTCTGGGGAAGGATTTATGTAGAAGCAGGTGCTTAAAGTGAAGTGAGCAGAACCAGGAAAACATTGTACACAACAGCAACATTGATAGACTTAGCTCTCAGCAATACAATGATCTAAGACAATTCTGAAGTTCGTATGATGAAAAATGCTATCCAACGCCAGAGAAAGAATTGATGGAGTATGAGTGCAGATTGAAGAATACATTTTTTAATTTTCTTTATTTTTCTTTTTTTTTTGTTTGCATTTTCCTTTGCAACATGGCTAAGATGGAAATATGTTTTACATGAATGCGCATGTATGATCTACATTAAATTTCTTGCCTTCTCAATGAGAGGGGAGGAGAAAGAGAGAATTTGGAATTCAAAATTTTAAAAAAGCATTGTTTTTACACATAATTGGAAAAAAATAAAATATAAGATTTTTTGGAAAAAAAGAAGGGGGTGATTAAGCTGAGTCTAGAAGAAAGAGAGGTGAAAGAGTTATTCTAGGTGTGAGGGATGATCATGGCAAAGATGTGGGAGAGGAAGTGCAATGTGTGAAGATTAGAGAAATACCAAGTTTCCTGGATTGCAGTGCAGAAAATGCAGTAATCAATATTAATATAAATTTATATACATAATTTATAATGAATATAAACATAAATTTTAATAAAAATTCATATAAATAGTATTAAAATAACTAAATTAGACTGGAAAAAGAGGTTAGGACCAGGTTGAAAAGGACTTTAAAAGTGAAAGAAAAGCTTCTGCCTTTTCCTTAAGGCGCTAGGGAGTCATTGGGGTTGAATGAGCAAGGGAGTGACATGGTCAGACCTTGGCTTAAGGAAAGTCACTTTGGCAGCAGTAGTAGAGGATGGACTTGAAATGGGACAAACTCAAGGCAATGAGACTAATTAGGAAATTACTGTAGTAGTCTAGGCCAAGGGTGATGAGAGCTTGAATTAAGGTAATAACTGTGAATAGAGAAGAAGAGTTGGCCTTGAGAGGTGTTATGGCAGGATTTGGCAGCTGATTGGATAGGTGGATTATGGGAGAGCGTGAGAAGTCAAGAACAATGCTCACATTATGAGCTTGGGAGACTTGGAAGAATGAACAGGTCTGGGGTATTATATTCAGGTCTTAGGAACCTTCTAGGAACTCCTGGAGAGCACCCAGAGGCCGGTCAGCAGGATGGTGAGGGCACTTGAAGTCCAGGCCGTTTGAAAGAAATGAGGCTATCTAGCCTAGGGAAGAGAAGAATTTGGGTTTGAAGAAGGAAGGAAACACAGCAGCTGTCTTAGGATATTGGAAAGAATGTCATATGGGAGAAGGATTAAGCTCATTCTTCAGAGTGGCTTAGTAGAAAGAATGCTGGGTTTGGAGTCAGGGGCTTGGGTTCTAAACCCGGTTCAGTTACTTCCTATCTGTGTGGCTTTGGGCAAATTACTTCAACCTCTGTGAGGCTCAGTTTCCTCACCTGTCAAATGAGGGATCTGGATATATAATCCCTCCCCTGGTTCCTTCTAGCGCTCGACGTGACTCTAAATTGCACCAAGGTCGATTTAAGTCAGTGTGAATCAAGGCTTTTAAACATTTATAGCTGTCCCAAAATGGAGTGGGCCACCGTGGGACGACTTATGTTCCTTGTTTCTAGAAGTCTTCAAGGGGAGGCTGAATGACCACCGGCTAGTCAGGGTGGTTTCTGCTCAGGTTGAACAGGATGTGGGCTTCTGAGGTCCCTGCCAACTCTGAGATTTCGGGGTTCTCTCCTCACGGGGGAGTGTCCATCTTTTGAATGAATAAAAATGCATTGACTAAGCAGTTATTATCTGCCAAACACTGTGCTAGATCCTAGAAATAAAAAAAGAAAAAATAAGACAATCATAGGGTAAAGAGGGGCAGTGTGAGAAGGAGGTGAGAGAGAAAATAGATTTTTGTTCCTTAAAAAAAGTTGAAATTTTTTTAAAAAGGAATTTGAATTTAAAAAAAAATTAAAGATAACTGCTGCTCTCAAGGATCTCACAGTCTAATTGAGGAAGACAACTCATAAAGAAAGTCAGCTATAAAGAAGATGGAAAAGCCCCTGAGTCCCGAGGGTGCATCACAAGGGCAGATGGCAAAGCCCCGGGAGTCCTTAGGCTGTGTTAGTAGGTCAGATGACGTGCCTGAGGTCTGCCTGGTGTAGATGAGAAGGATGTAACTGTAATTACTGTTTGTCTTCCCTTTCTTGAGCACAGCCTGTGGACTGGAATGGCTGCCGGGCAGGGCTGCAGGTGGACCGATCGGTGAAGGAGGTGTCCTGGGCCAAGCCGGGCACTGCCTCAGGCCTGACCATGTTGCAGTCCTTCATTGCTGAGAGACTCCCGTACTTTGGGTCCGACCGAAACAACCCCAACAAGGATGCACTCAGCAACCTCTCCCCCTGGTTCCACTTTGGTGAGCCTTCTTAAACCTTTTTTTTAATTCCTGTATCACCTCACGAGGACCCCACAGTTTCATTTTTTCATTGCTTGACTGGCTGTAGAACAGGGTTTCTTAAACAGGGTCTGTGAACTTTTTTTAAAAAATTGTTTTTGATAACAGTATTTCTGTAGAATTGGTTTTCTTTGTAATCTTGTGTATTTTATTTTAGGCATTTGAAAACATTGCTCTTCAAAATTAAAAAAAAGAAAGAACATTAAAGTTATGTTTGTCATTTCTATTTGATTAGTTTCAAACTTGCTAGCTATATAATTATATATATATTATATATGCAACATATAGAAACAATTATAACTGTTAAAAATAAAACATAAAAATGTTCTTCAAAATTAAAAAATATTAAAGTTATATTTATGATTTCTATTTAATAAGTTTTAAACTTGCTAGTTATATAATTATGTCTTAACAGTTATAACTATTAAAATATAAAATGTAAAAATTATTCTTCAAAATTAAAAAATGAATGTTACATTTATGACTTGTGTTTGATTAGTTTCAAACTTGCTAGCTATGTAATTACATATATTATATATGTCATATATAATATATTAACAATTATAACTGTTAAATGAAAAATTCTTCAAAATTAAAAAGAATAAAGTTATATTTATGCTTTCTATTTGATTAGTTTCAAACTTGCTAGCTATATAATTAGATATGTATGCAACATAATGTATGAACAATCATAATTGTTAAAAAGTTTTAAAAATAAAAACATGGTTCTTCAAAATTAAAAAATGAATGTTACATTTATGATTTCTATTTGATTAGTTTCAAACTTGCTAGCTACATAAGTATATATTATATATGTAATATATATTAACAATTATAACTGTTAAATGAAAAATTCTTCAAAATTTAAAAGAATAAAGTTATATTTATGATTTCTATTTGATTAGTTTCAGACTTGCCAGCTATATAATTAGATATGTATGTATCATATAATGTATAAACAATCATAGTATTAAAAAGTTTTAAAAATAAAAACGTGGTTCTTCAAAATTAAAAAATGAACATTACACTTATGATTTCTATTTGATTAGTTTCAAACTTACTAGCTACACAAGTATATATTATATACGTAATATGTAATATATTAACAATTAATAACTGTTAAAAAGTAAAAACATTCTTCAAAATTAAAAAATAAAATTATTTTTATTTGATCAATCAGTTTCAAACTTTCTAGCTATAGAATTAGATATATATGTAATATATAATATATGAACAATTATAACTAAAAATTTTTTAAATAAAACCATGTTTCTTCAAAATTAAAAAAAGAATGTTTAAGTTATGTTTATTTCTTTTTATTAGTTTCAAACTTGCTAGTTATGTAATTATATATTACAATCTGTAATATATAATGTATTAACAATTATAACTGCTAAAAATAAAAACATTGCTCTGAGGAGGGTCCATAGGCTTCCCCCAGACTGCCACAGGGATCCAGGACACAAAGAGCTTATGAACCCTTGTTCTAGAAGATGGGGGTGGAGAAGACCACAAGGGAATGATGAAGAGCAGCATTTAACCTCGGTTTAAGATTAGAATATCCTTTCTATTCCTTTCTATATGTGACTATGACCTCTGTTATAGACTTCTAAGGTCATCAGTTCAGAGCTGGAAGGTACCTTAAAGATTGAGTCTAACCCTTTCATTTTATGGATGAGGAAATTGAGGATGGAAAAGGTTAAGTGACTCCATAGGAACATAGACCTAAGGCTGGAAGTGACGTTGGAAGTCGCTTAGTCCTGCCCTTCTATTGGTAGATGACAAAACAATCCTAAAGAGGTCACATGACCAAGACCACACTGCTATTAAGACAGGAATAGAACCCAGGTCTTCCTGATTCCAAGTCCAGTGTTTTTTCCGTAATACAATGTTGCTCCCCAAGCCCTCCATACTTTCTTGGCACCTATATGTACAAAACAACTGTTGCTGTTTTACATGAATAAATAGAAAATACACAAATAAATACAACCAATCAGGTCAATCTTCAGCCTTAAGGAGTGTACGTCCTAATGGAAAAAGACAACACATAAAGGAGAGTCAGAGAAAGGAGGAAGCCATCGTTATGGTTGGAAAGTGGTATGGAGCCCTTCTCAGCAAAATAAGGCAAAAACTCGCCTATCGGAGCTGCCTCTGCCAGCTGGGCATTTGTGGGGCAGAGCATTGGACTTGGAGCCAGAGAGACATGCATTTGAGTCCTGCCCAGGTGCTAACTGTGTGACCCTGGGCAAATCACTAAAACTCTGCCTTAGTTTCCTCATCTGTAAAATAGGGACAATAATAGCACATACTTCTCAGAGTTATGAGGATAAAATGAGATAATAATTATAAAGTGCTTAGCACAGCACATGGCACATAGTAAGCACTATATAAATGTTAGCTATGATGTTGCTGCTGCTAATGTAGATGATGCATAAAAACTGGACTTGGGAGTCAGGAAGACCTGCATTCAAATCCTGCCTCAGATAACCAGCTGTGTGACCCTGGCAAATCAGTTAACCTCTGTGGGCCTCGGTTTTCTTATCTGTAAAATGAGGGTGTTGGACTCTAAGATCCCAACCTTCTCCAAATCCATGAGTTTCTGCCATGGTGGACAGCCAAGTATTTAAGAACCAATTTATAGGACAGTTGGCTCAGGGAGGGAGAGATACATGAGGAGAAACTGAACTGAATTTAAAACTGACCAGTAGCCTTGTGTTTAGTGATATTTTTGTAGAGAGATGTGGGGAGTCAAGGACTGACTTGGCTGTGTCTATCATTGGTGGTGTGCTCGGTGTCTCTACGGTGGTGGGAAGCTGGAGTGCTTCCTGTGCCCTGATGGGGCTAGCCTAATTTCCTAGATTTTTTTCTTTTTTCTCCTAACTTTGGTGTCCCAACTCTCTTCTTCTGTCCCACCAGGGCAAGTCTCAGTTCAGCGGGCCATTCTGGAAGTGCAGAAACATCGAAGCCGGTACCCAGATTCTGTGACTAACTTTGTGGAAGAGGCTGTGGTGAGGAGGGAGCTGGCAGACAATTTTTGCTTCTACAATAAGAACTATGACAAGTTAGAAGGTAGATATCACCCCTCAAACCCTTAGGTGGGAATGCAGGAGTTGGGGAAGTCAATACTGCCTAATCAAATGAGGTAATATTTGTAAAAGGCTTAGCATAGTGCCTGGCACATAGTAGGCACTTAATAACTATTATTCCCTCCGCTCCCCACCCCCAGATGCCATGTATTACTCCCCTTTGCCTTCTCCTGTGGTCAGCAACCCCTGATCACCTTCATATCTTCTTTCTCCATTTGTTCAGTTTCTCTCTTTTGATCTAGATCCAAACTTAGAATAATTCAGCCTAAGATTAGATCAATTGCACTTTAGCAGCTGTTTCATACTGTGGGCCTTAGTGAAGAATTTGTAAATAAATAAAATCCTCAGGTTGTTTTTTCCCTACCACTGTGTCCTCGTGCCTTTTATTTTTTGAACCTAACCATGGGACTTTTTCATTTATTGCTTTTGGTTTCAGCCTATCATTGTAGCCTATTAGTTATTCTGAATTTTGATTTTGTGATTCAGTCATTCATTATTGCTTCTAGCTTTGCGTCATCTGTACATTTAGTAAGTGGCTGTATAGGTTATCTTCTAAAAGTTATTGACAAAAATTTTGAACAGGATAGGTCCAAGGACAAGCACTCCATTAAGCCTCTCTCCAGATAGGAATGGGTTCGTTAATCAGCTGTCTGGATATGGTTGTTCGGATAGATACAAATCTACTAAATTGTACTAACACTTCTTTATTTTGTTTACGAGAAATATAGACTTTGTCAAATGCCTTGATGAAATTCATATGTTTATGATATTGCCCTGATCTAGTAATCCTTTATAAAAAAGGAAATTAAGAACTTGGCATGAATTGTTCTTAGTGAGGTTGTCCTAACTTCTTGGGGTTGATAATTTCTTTTCTAAAATATCTGCTTAATAATCTATTTTCATATTTTACTGGGGAGTGGCATCAAGTTTGTTAGTCAGAAGTTTGTAGAATCTTCATTATCTCTCCCCCTCTTTTAAAAATTGGGACATCAAAAAAAAAAATTGGGACATCAATTTTTTCCATTCATCCATTTCCTCCTCTCCCCTCTTTAATTTCAAGCAAATTAAAAAACAAACAAACAACAAATCCTTTAACACATAGCAGCATAGTCTGGCAAAACAATTTCCCACATTAGCTATATCCCAAAATGTATTTCTCCTGCATTTTAAGTTCGTCATCTCTGTATCAGGAAGTGAATGGCACACTTCTTCAGTCTTTTGGACTCTTGGTTTATCATTGCATTGATTAGAACTCTGAAATTTTTCAGACTTGTTTTTCTCTATAATGTTATTGTATAAATTGTTCCTGTAGTTCTAATCATTTTGATCTATGTCAGTTCATAAAGATCTTCCTAGGTTCTTCTATAATTTTTTTATCATTTCAAATGGTGTAATAATATTCCATTAAATTCATATAACACACTTGTTCATCATTCTTCAGTAGAAGTATACCTTCTTATTTTCTGATTTTTGGCTTCTATAAAGAGAATGCCTTTAAATATTTTTTGTACATATAGGTTTTTTTCTTCTTTCATTTCTTTAGGGGTATAATCCTAGTAGAAGGGTCAAAATGTATGGCATCATTTGGTAAGTTTCCTGGCATAGTTCCAAGTTGCTTTCCAAAATGATCAGACCTATTTCCAGCTCCGTAAGGGTACTCTAATGCAGCTGTTTTCTCATAGCCCATCAAACATTTTTCATTTTCCTATTTTGCCATCTTTTCCAATCTGATATGGAGATGGAGCTTCAGATTAAAGTTGCTTTAATTTGCACTTCTCTGATTATTAGTGATTTAGGGCATTGTTTTTTTCATATGGTAGCTTATAGCTTGGATTTCTTCCTTTGAAAACTATCTCTTCATACCCTTTGACCAAGCTATCGGTCAAAGCTACTGGGGCATGGGTCTTAGTCTTGTAAATTTAATCAGTTCCTTATATATCTTAAAAATGAGACCTTTATCAAAGAAACTTGTTTCAAAGATTTTTCCCAATTAGCTGTTTCCCTTTTAGTTTTTGCTATATTAGATATGTTTGTATAAAGAAATTTTAATTTTATATAATCAATAGTGAGTAAACATTAAGAACCTACTGTGTGCCAGGCACTGTGCTTAGAGGCTCCCTCTCATTTGTTTAGTCATGAACTCTTCCCCATCTGTAGATCTGAAAGGTAATTTCTTCCTTGCCTCTCCTCTAATTTGTTTATGATATGATTTTAAAACTAAGTCATGTATCTATTTGGAATTTATCTTGGCATATGGTGTGAGGCATTGGTCTAAACCTGATTTCTGCCAAATTGTGCCCCCGTTTTCCCAGCAGTATTTTTTCTCCAAATGAGTCCTTTCCCCAGTAACTAGGGTTTTTTAATTTATCAAATACTATTGGGTTTTTTTGTTTCTCTACATATTGTATACCTGATCTATTCTGCTAATTGACTTCTCTCTTTTTTAAAAACACGTAACAAATCATTTTTATGATTACTGCTTTGTAATGTAGTTTGAGATCTAATACCAATAGACCTCCCCCCTTTCCACTTTTTTCATGTGAATTTCATTACTATTTTTATAGCTCTACAAACTATTCTTTTGGGAATCTGATTGGTACAACACTGAATGACTCAACCTAATCATGAGCAATCAATATTTCCCTATTTAGGTCTGTCTTTATTTCTGCAGAATGTTTTGTAATTAGATTCATAGAGTCCCTCTGTAAATCTTTGAACGTACATTCCTAGTACTTTGCAGTTCTGTAGTTTTTTTGAATTGAATTTCTCTTTCTAGCTCTTCTTAGTAGGTTTTGTTGGTTATATACAAGCTGATGGTTTATTTGGATTTATTTATTATCTGCAACTTTGCTGAAATTAGTTATTTCAATTAATTTTAGTCATATCATCTGTAAAAAGCAATAACTTTTTTCTCTTTGCCTATGTTTAGTCTATTAATTTTTTTTCTTTTTTTTTGCTATAGCTAACATTTTTAGGATAAAAATGTTAAATAGTAGTTGTGATATTGGGCATCCTTGCTTTATCTGCTTTTATTGGAAAGGCTTCTGAACTTTTCTCCATTACATATAATGTTTGCTCTTGAATTTAGATAAATACTATTTACTGTATTAAGTAAAGATCTATTTATTCCTATGACTTCTGTAGCTTTTAATAGAAATGAGTGTTGGATTTTGTCAAAAGCCTTTTTGGCTAGTGATATAAATCATAGGATTTTTATTATTTATATTATTCACATGGTTTATCATATTTATAATCTTACATAAGTTGAACTAACTCTATATTCCTGATATGAACCCAGCCTGGTCATAGTGTATAGTCTTCAATATATTTTTTAGCCTACTTCTTAAAGTGTTTGTATTAATGTTGACTAGGGATATTGGTGGGTAGGTTTCTCTGCTTTGTGTCTCCTGGTTTAGGCATCAAGACCATATTGTTTTCTTATTATTGCAGTTTGTGTAGTATTGGAATTAATTGTTATTGGAATGTTTAATAGAATTCACTTATGAATCCATATGGTCCTGCAGTTTTTTTCATTAGGAGTTAATTTATGGCTTGTTCAATTTCTTTTTCTGTTATTGTGCTATTTAAATAGTCTGTTTGTTCTTTTGTTAATCTGGCTGTTAATAAGCTATTTCTCTAAGTTATCAATTTTGTTAGCATATAATTAGGCAAAATAGTTCCTAATAATTCCTTTATTTCCAATTCAATTGCTTTAAGTTCTGCTTTTTCATTTTTATATGAACATTGTTTTTCCTTATTGTTTTTTAAACCAGATTTTCCATTTATCTCTTTCATTAGTTTTTTTAAACCAGCTCCTAGTTCTATTTATCAATTCACTATTCTTTTTGTTTTCGATTTTATTAATCATCCCTTCTTTAATTTTCAGAATTTCTAGTTTGTTACTTAGTTGGGGGTTTTTTCATTTGTTGTGGTTCAAGTTTTTTTAAATTACATGCTCAATTCACTGATTTGTTCTTTTCTCTTTTTTTGTAATTTTTTTTAATTTTAAACTTAAAATGAGAAAAGAAAAAAAACCATTGCCATGTATACAGCAGACCATAAGAAAAGATTCAATATAAAACAATCTTTATGCCCCAACACATGGCCAGTTTTTGTAAAGGTGCTGTGGATGACTGAGAATATAAATTCCATTCTGTTTCCATTCAGTATTTACCTGAAATCTGTCATCTGTAATTTTTCTAAAGTTCTGTTCAGATCCTTAACTTATTTGTTGTTATCTTTTGGTTAGCTTTATCTAGATCTGAAAGGGGTACATTAGGTTCCTCTACAGTGATACTTTTATTATCTATTTCTCCCTCCAATTTGATTAAACTTTTCTGTAAGTATTAGGTACTATGTTAGACACATATATGTTAAATACTGATATTGATTTATTATCTTAAGTGCCCTTAATCGTAATATAATTTCCCTGTTTATCTCTTTTTATCTTTTTTTTATGCTCACTATAGCTTTGTCTGAAATCATGATTTCTATCCTTGCTTCTTGAATCATTGTTTTCTGTCTGGCCCCTTCTAATTTTCAGAGCATTCACTTGTTTTGTTGGGTTTTTTTAATTTGTTTTTTGGCTAGGCAGTGGGGTTAAGTGACTTGCCCAGGGTCACACAGCTAGTAAGTGTCAAGTGTCTGAGGTCAGATTTGAACTCAGGTCCTCCTGACTCTAGGGCTGGTGCTCTGTCCACTGCGCCACCTAGCTGCCCCCCTGGCATTGTTCTTGTGGGAGGTGTCCCGCCTATTCCCTTTCCAGTCTTTCCTCCCTGCCTTTTCAGTTCTGTATCTCTTGTTTCATTTTATTTAAGTACCCTTCCAGTCTGTGGCCAGGACATTTTTTTTCTCTGAAGCTTTACTTGGACATGTGGGGTTGATCTCCTCTTCAGGGTTTACCTGGAGCGTCTCTCAAACCAAGTTATTTCTTCGTGGTGTTCAGTTTTCCTTGGTTTGCTCCATGGGAGGATACTTGATGAAGCTTTGCGACAGAATGGAGTGGGCAGGGCCTGACCAGTCCCAAATGTAGTGGGCCAGACCAGGCCCCTCTTTCAAGGGACTCGTGGAATGCCTCTGTGTTGGGCTCTGCCTAGGGCTTCCTGATATCGTGGACCTCCAGGACTTCTCCCTTACAGGATGCTCCCGGGGCACTTCCCTCTGGTACTAGAATCACAGGTTACTCTTATGCCGGCTACCACCATAGGCTTCAGGGACTACTCAGACTGGATTTTGCCCAGGGACTTTCTCCCACAGTTTGGCTCAGGTCACTGATTCCCTGCTGGACCCCGCCTGGAGTTCCCTGAGTTGGGTAGGGCTAGGTTAGAGCTCTGCTGGGACCCAGCCAGCCCCAGGCTCTGTTTTGGGGGAATACTGGGCTGGATCTAAAATGCCTCGAGGCTGCTCCCTCCTGAGCTAGGCCCAGGCAGCCTGTCAGCCCCGGCTTTAGGAGAGGCTTGGGTTCAGCTGGGTTCAGCCTCTTAAGAGCTTAGGCAGGGGGTGTTGGAACTACCACCCACAGTTTCAGGAGACCTGAGCCCACCCATCTTGTCAATCCTAAGATTTGTGTAAGACTCAGTGGAGCATAGACATGATTCTTTCTGATCCTAAGGAGACTGGTGCTTCTCTAAGCCCCTATGAGGGGGATTTTCCTATTGCCTGTAAGATCTGTATTTTTTCATTGACCATACATTCTCCAAAATTGTTGACAAAAATTATTGACTCTCAAGTTTGAAGGTTATCTAGTCTAAATGAAACTTGATCTAGAATTTCCCTCTGTAACACGAGATAGGCACAGGACCTGTGATTTTATATGTATTGGGAACTCCCACATAGAGAAACTCCCTCTACCAATGCTGATAGCATCTTCTCTGCAACTGGTAGTCTTAGAGAATTGTCTGGAGCTCTGAGAGGTCTGCCAAGGTCACTTAGCCAGTATCAGGCATTGGACTTGAGCACAGGTCTCTCTGACCACAGTGCCCCACTGTTTCTCATAAGGATTATGTGACATTTATAAGCTGTGTGGATATAGAGCTGGCCTCAAAGCCAGGAAGACCTGGTTTAAGTCCCTCTGAGTCACATTGGTCATATGAACCAGGCCAAGTCATTTAACCTCTCAGTAGCTTTTGACCTGCACTGGTAGAGGGAATTGAGTCACTGGAAATTCCCTATCCCGGTGAAATCACAGATCTGATCAGAAACAGAAACTGGCATTACATAGCACTTTGGGGTTTGCAGAGCACTTGACATATATTACCTCATCTGAGCCTTACACTGACCCTGTGAGGTAGGTACTGTGGGTTATTGTTGTCCCCATTTTACAGCTGAGGAAACTGAGGCTGAGGGAGGCTAAGTTGCTTGCCCAGGCTAACACAGCTAGGAAATGTCATCCAGGATTCCCCCACCAGTCGTCATCTAGACTCTTCTTGAAGACTTCCAGAAACACACAACTTCCTGAGGCAACCCATTCCCTTCTGGGACAGCTTCTTATTTATAACCCAGAAGGCACAGAGTTCACTTTAAAAACTATATTGCATATCTCCTTGTTATTCCAAATTGATTTAATAGTGCATTCATAATCACAGCCATTCCAAACTTTCCATTCTCCCAAAGCCTCCCCGTAAATCCTCTTCTCTTTCTTTGCACATGGATTTGACTTGATTCTCAGAAATCTGGGAGACGTTGGTCACGATCACCAGCATTTTTGTATCTGTATCCATCGGGGCATTCAAGGGGGTTCGTGCCACAATTTCCCCTTGTATTTCAAACCTGTTGTTCAGTCATTTTCAGTCATGTCCGACTCTTTGTGAACATCTGTGGGGTTTTCTTGGCAAAGATACCAAAGTGGCTTGCCATTTCCTTCTCCAGCTCATTTTACAGATGAGGAAACTGAGGCAAACAGGGTTAAGTGACTTAGCCAGGGTCACACACGCTAGTAAGTGTCCGAGGCCAGCTTTGAACGCAGGAAGGCGAGTCTATCCTGGTTCTAAGACCAGCATTCTGTGCCCTATGGCACCACCTAGCTGCCCCATTTCTAATCTTCTCTCTCACTATTCCTCTTACAAGTACCCCAGACTCCAGACACATAGTACTGCTAACTCTTTCTAGAACACAGTCTATATTTTCCTGTCCCCACTTTTGGGGGGATCATAAAACTGTGTTTATACCTGGGAGGACTGTTCTTATCTGATGGATGTGTTAGTTGACTCCAGGGAGGAATCCTCAATTGCATTCACACTTCTCTGTGATCTCGTTAGGTGGTAAAGCAGATGGAACTTTCTAGACCTGGAGTGAAGACTGGAGTTTCAATCCAGCCCCAGACACTAGGTTATCTCTCAGGTCCCTTACAAAATGATAGAGTGTTCTAACATTCTAATTCTATGGTTTTTCCCTTTCCTTCTCTCTTCTTCCCTCCGTCTTTCTCAGTGTGCGTGAATACATGTATGTATAATACATGCATGTGTATGTATATGATACATATATGTATGTGTATATATAATGTTTTATATGTGTAACATTATATAATATGTATGTATATACTCATTTTTGAGGCAGCTAGGTGGCTCAGTGGCCAGCTAGGTAGTGTAATGGATAGAGTGCCAGGCCTGGAATCAGGAAGACTCAACTTCATGAAACCCCAAATGGGGTCATGAAGAGTTGGACATGATTGAAAAACAATAACAATAACGTTCCAGCCAGCTTAATCAGATGAGAAATAGCACCTCTTAATTATCCAGTTTCTGAATTGCCAAGTCCCTTTGTTTGTTTTCACCAATTTGCCGTTACTGCCCAAATGCATCGAGTATGGTCAGAGAAATAGGACATTGTGCTTATGGGACTTGTGGGAAGGTAGACTAAAATGAATGGTTGAATGCTCAATAATTATAATGACCAAACTTGTCTATGAAGAAGAGAGTTTTTAAATGTTCTTCCCTCCCATCTTTGTAGAGGTTGGGGCCCATGGATATGGAACATTAGATATACCATCAGACTCAGTTGGTATATTGGTTAGTTTTGCTGAATTACTATTCTCCCCCCTTATTTATTCTTTTAAAAGGGATAGCTCCCTGGATAGGGGAAGAAGAAGGGGGGGATATATATGAAAATGAAGTTGTGAAAATAAAAGATATCCATAAATGTTGGGACTTGGGATTTGCTTTTCTACCTTCCATTTATATGGATCATTGAAGGTTGATCATGTATGTGATGGGGAGAGAACAAACTGATAAAAAGTATCTTTGGGCTGATAGATTCTTGGCATTTCATCCTAAAACAGCTTTTCCTCCTCCTTCCACAGTGACCCCCTGCAGAGTAGGCGGCTAAGGCTTAAGGGAGGGAAGGGAGAGAAAACTAATAGGGGAGCATTGTTATCTCCAGGTGCTTATGATTGGGCCCAAACCACCCTGAGACTCCATGCCAAGGACAAGAGACCCCATCTGTACTCATTGGAACAGCTGGAGTCTGGGAAGACACACGACCCGCTCTGGAATGCTGCGCAGGTACTCTGCCCACCCATGGTCACGTTTCCATTCCCTTCTCACTGCCTACACCTCCACTCTTCCCAAACCTGGGGGAGGCACAGCGTGCAGTGGGGACTTCCGAACTGGGTGGACAGGGGTACCATAGAGAGTCTTCAGTCGATGTGCCCTCGTCCTTCCAGTCCTGAATGGTTCCCAGTGGGACCTGTCAGGCACAAGTGTCCCTTCTGAGGAGCAGACCCAGGGAGACACAAGAATATACTTGTTTTCATGTCTACCAAAGATAAAAAGCTGATCAAAGCTTTTCAAGAGGCTTCTATCTGAAGTACACTCAAAAAAGTCTGTACCTCTATCTTTACTTTCACATTTGATTTTCTTTGCACACATTTACTAGGCCCTGAGAATGCAGAGACATGGCTCTCACTCGTCTCAGAGGGATTGTCCAGTTGAAGTCAGGACTGCCAGCTGAGGCCTACCCAGCACACACAGCTATTTTATGGTACTTGTTTTTCTCTCTGAAGATGCAGATGGTGAAGGAAGGAAAGATGCATGGTTTCCTTCGAATGTACTGGGCCAAGAAGATTCTGGAGTGGACCCGCTCCCCTGAGGAAGCCCTTGAGTTTGCTATCTATCTCAATGACCGGTTTCAGCTGGATGGCAGGGATCCCAATGGCTACGTAGGTGAGGATGGTTATTGGTTAGCTAGGAAGAGCAGGCCCCTGGAGTCCTGAAGGCTGATGCCTTTGGGGTCTCCTGCTCGACCAGAGATGAGCACTGCTTCATTTGGAGAAAGGCTCTGTCGGGGTTAAGTGATAGGCGATGGAGGAGCTATTAGATCAGAGATGGGAGAGAGGGAAGGAAGGAAGGAAGGAACAAAAAGAGGGAAGGCAGTGGGGAGGGGAGGAAAGGGGAAGGAAGAGAGGAGAGAAGGAGGAAAGAAGGGGAGTGGGAGGGAATGGGGAGATGGAAAGATAAAGGGAGGGAAGGAAGAGAGAGAAGGAAAGAAAGGGAGAGGGAAGGAAGGAGGGAAAGAAAGAAGGGGGAAGGAGGGAAGGAGAAAGGAAGGAATAAAAGAAGGGAGGAGGAAATGAAGGAAGGGGGAAAGGAAGGAAGAAAGGGAGAGGGGAAAAGAGGAAGGAAGGAAGCATTTATTGTCTGTTATGTGCCAGGCACTGTGCTAAGCAGTTTACAAGTATCTCATTTTATCTTTACCACACCCCTGAGAGGTAGGTGCTATTATTATCACCATTTTACAGTTGAGGAAATGGAAGAGGACAGAGTTTAAGTCACTTGTCCAAGATCAAATAGCTAGTCTGAGGCTGAATTTGAACTCAGATCTTCCTGACTCTAGGCCCAGT